AGTGTGATAAAGCGAGAAGCGAGAGAGAGAGAGACTGGGTCTGTGCGTGCATGCGTGCTCGCGTATCAATAAGATAGCTATCAAGAGGGAGAGAGAGAGAGAGAGAGAGAGAGAGAGAGAGAGAGAGAGAGAGAGAGAGAGAGCGCGCGTGAGACCGAACAATCGTGAGTCAGGCGCATAAAGCAAGAGCGACATAAAGAGGGAGAGGGGATGTGGAGGGAGAGAAGGAGAGAGGAAGGGAAGAAAAAAGGGAGGGAAAGAGGATGGGGAGAAAGAGAAAGACCGGAGACGAAGGAAGACAGGGACGGAGAAGAAAGGTGGGTGGGGGAGGAATAAGGTAATAAAAAATGCAAACGCGAGAAAATGAAAAAATGCAAATGAGAAAAAGAAGAAAAGGCAGGGTGTGTGCAAGAGAGAAGAGAGAGAGAGAGAGAGAGCGCACGCGTAGAAATACGGTGTAAGAGAGAGGGAGAGAGAGATATAGATAGATTGAGAGAGAGCGAGAGAAGGAGAGACAGACCGAGAGAGAGAGAGAGAGAGAGAGTGACAGAGCGAGAGGGGGACAGGCAGAAAGTGATAGAGAGAGAGAGAGAGAGAGAGAGAGAGAGAGAGAGAGAGAGAGAGAAAGCGACAGAGCGAGAGAGCTGGACAGGCAGAGAGAGAGAGAGAGAGAGAGAAAGAAAGAGGGAAGGAGGGAGGGAGACCGGAGAAGAAGGAAGAGAGAGAGGGAAGGGGAAAGGTGGGTAGGGGAGGGCCAAGGTAATAAAGAATGCGTACGTGAGAAAATGAAGAAATGCGAAGGAGAGGAAGAAAAAAGGCAGAGTGTGTGTAAGAGAGAAGAGAGTGCGCGTGCGTATAAACACGGTGTAAGAGAGAGGGAGAGAGAAAAAGATAGATATTGAGAGAGAGAGAGGGAGCGAGAGAGAAAGAAAGAGAGACAGACCGAAAGAGAGAGAGAAAGAGAAAGTGACAGAGCGAGAGGGGGACAGGCAAAGAGTGATAGAGAGAAAGAGAGAGAGAGAGAGAGAGAGAGAGAGAGAGAGAGAGAAAGAGAGGGAGAGAAGGGGAAGGAGGGATGGAGACCGGAGAAAAGGAAGAGAGGAACGGAGAAGAAAGGTGGATAGGGGAGGGTTAAGGTAATAAAGAATACGTACGCGAGAAAATGAAGA